GAAGGTACATTCTCGCTTCCTTCTATAAAAAAGGTGTGCAAATAAAAACAACTATTTATTTTTAGGTATATTATGAAGTTTTTCCGCTAATTAGGTTCAATTTGAAAATCTCATTTCCACCCCTACTTCCCCCAAAGTTTTTTTCATGTAATTTCTAAAGTGAATCTCTCTGGTCACTTGGCAGGGATAGAAAGTTCAAAAAAAAAATCGGTTTTCTAAAGAACTGGATCGAAAAACTGATCTTTTCTGTTCACGCAAAAAAAACATAATACGTGAAAGCACTACAAACAATATATACAAAACTAAAAAAGGGAACATCTATATCGAAGTAAATTTAATTTTCCTTTTGAATATGTATTGTGTGTACATAAACCTGTGGTCAGCTGATTAAGTCAAGTGACATTTTTATTAGTTAAATTCACAATTCAAGCCTCATACAAAAATTATGAAAATTCAACAACATTTGAACCCAAACAAAATTGTTTGATTGCTTCGTGTGTTTCGAAATTTATTTGGTTTTGTCGCTCGCTGTTATATTTCCTATTTTTATGTTTAGTTAAGTTCTCAAAAAAAAATAAATAAAGTAAAAGTTACCGCTTTATTAAAAAATAATAAGAGCTTGCTATTCTCATATAATAGATAAGTATAAATAGTACAGGTACCTTTGTGACCAGCTGATTAAGTCAAGTGACATTTTGACTAGTTTTGGCTATTCTTATTTTTTTATTTTATGTTTATCTTTCTTTATAAAAGTTCAGCACTTTACCTAGCCAACGCCACATAAATCCACATTTTAAACTTCATACAAAAATTATGAAAATTCAACAAACATTAAAATTTGAACCCGAAAATTTTAAGCTTTTTATTTTGGTTATGCAGTTTTGTAGCTCATTAAATTTTAGTGGATTAGGGTGCGAATTTCAAGACGCTAGAAAATCGTGTTGATTTTTAATAATTAGTTTTTTTTTCTGATGGTGCTAGGCATTTCTCCTATACAAACGAAATTGTCGACCATAGATTCACAACACCGTCAGCCAAAAAATTCTTAAAAATCAACGCAGTTTCCTAGCGTCTTGAAATTGGCACTTTGACCTACTAAAATTTAATGGGCTACAAAATTTCATAGCCAAATTAAAAAGTTTAAAATTTAAGGGTTCAAATGTTAATGTTTTGTAGGAAGTTTGAAATGTTGATTTATGTGGCGCTGGTTAGGTAAAGCGCTGAACTTTTATAAAAAAATATAAACATCAGCCATACATAGGAAGATATATCCCATTAATCGAATTCGCGCCAAACTCAGCGAACAACTAAATTTCTCAATTTATACGATATTTGTACATTTTGTATAATTTAAACTTTCATCAATAGACTCATACAGTCCATTCAAAATTTTTGTTAAAATATTAATTAGTTATAAATAAATTTTGTAAAAGAATTACAAGTAGAATTAAAATTTAAACATTACTTTGAAAATCTAAATCACAATCTAGTAATTTATTAACACTCTCTGACTTTAGAATTTTTTCTAATGGGCTTTGTACTTTAAAAGATATGATTAATTCACAAATGACGAAAAAAAATCAGAGTAATGTAGAAATTCTTTAGAATTCATAAACAATTAAAACTTTTTTGTTCACAAGGGCGAATAGGTATTGGAAATGTACTTTTAAATTATTTTATATAATAAAGTTGGTAGAACGAAATTCGACAGGTAAAACACAGGCAGATTTTATGAAACTGAAAGTATTTTTATCTACATACACATTTAAACAAAACTATCGGCAGTTAAAATTCTTCACTGTTCTTCATAGGATTCTGTGTTGGCACTACTAAAAAAAAATATGTAAACTTATAATAACTGATGCCAAGAATTGGTGGCCAATATACATACATACAGTGGTCGAAAAAATTATAGCCGCACCACATTTTTGACAAGTTATTTTTAAATAAAATATGGGTGGTTCACAAGGTGTCGTACGTGTCGTATTGTCGCATGTTGTAAAGTTTTTAACGGCTAAAAAAATGTTTAGAGGACTTGAAATCACCAGCAACTATTTTTTAACGGAAATTTCATAATAAAACCTTTATGTTAGCTTGCGATTTCCTTAAATATAGTTTTAGCCGTTTAAAGTTTATGACATACAACAGTACGACACTATACAATACCTTGTGAACTCCCTAATAGTTTATTCTTTAACAAAACCCATGTAAGTTCAAGTTTCAGCTTTGTGCAATATATTCAACAAACTATCGTAAAAGTTTTCGATTTCCTGGAAACTCTAAAAGAACAAAGTGTACGTGTGAAATGGCTAAAAATACCGTTGATTTTTTAGAAAACATTTTGTCGAGGACGTTAAAGTTTTTTTTTTTTTATATATGTAACAATAAATTGTATTATTCGTTATATAGAAGCAAATGCGACAAAAAAATCTACATATTTTAACTTATGACGATTTGTATAATCTACACGATTTAGCATTAACTACAATAAGAAACCGTAACAAAGATAAAGACAGCCTAAATGTTTCTTTAAAAAAAATAAAATGTATTAAAGGCGAAACGTCGGCACTCGAGAGGGCGTCGTCGAACTCGGGCTTATGAGGCCAAGGTTTCCATATCTGCATCAAAAAAGCAGAGCTCATCAAATTAAGCAATGCGGGACAAATACCAGAGTAAATAGTTCCATGGTACAAAAACTTACTGTCAACAAATGCTGGTCCAGCATTCTTTCCGGAACCATTAAATACACGACCATGAGCGCATGTATAGGCAGGTAAAAGTCACTAATAAAACCTCAATATCTCAAATTTTTTCTGAGTGTATTGCCAATTTTTAAGATTATTCAAGCATACATTTTGAAAGGACTTATTCATTCTTCAATACATAATCGTCATTATGCAACAAAAAAATCTAGATAATCTGCTTTAATTCTACAAAATTTTTTCTTCAATTTGATACCCATACTAGTTTTCAACATTGCACTAAATTTTTAACCGACTTCAAAAAACTTTGAACCACGTAGAATATGCTATATTTTATAAAAAAAATTATGATTTAAATAAAAAAAATAAAATTGCACCTTATTCTCTTAAAATATAATGGGCAATAAAACTTGTTACCTAACATTTATCCAAAAATTCGGAATAAAAATTTTGATATTTTTGGGTGGTATTGGTATAGTTTGTGGAATTTTTGTATCGAAAACTGCTTTTGTAGGGTACTGGTTATGTAATGTTCTAAAATTTTGTAAAAGCAAATTATAAACATTAAAAAAAAATAAAAGAAAAATAGCCAAAACTATTCAAGATATCACTTAACTTAATCAGCTGACCGCAAGGGTACCTGCCTGTTTTTTTTTTTTTTATGCTACATTGCGAGTTTTTCATTGTAAAAGCAATATAATTCGAATTAATATTCTAATTTAATTTGATTTATTAAAATCTTTCTGAAGTGGCTTCGTTCTTCCAGTCCTCCTCTATGTAGGTATGTATGTACGAGTTTCTATGTCAAAGAATACATATTTACATTTTCTATTTCGGTTAACCCAAATTTCAACTAATATGGCATCGTAGCAATATGTAATATGGCTTAAATGCGCATTTACTTACCCACTAAAGAATGTAATATCAGTTATCTCTCATTCCGCTGTCAATCACGTAGCTTTGTATGTCAGAAATAGCAGACATAAAACTTTTCGCTTGCTGTCAAACACCTACTGACGTGAGAGCGATCAAAGCCAAATTTACAAAGCGAAATTTATGTATGTATGTATACTAGGGATAGGTAGTGGTGAGTTTAAATTCGATTCTTTTCGAACATTGCCTAACCAATATTTGATTCGAAATTCGGCGGTCCAAATTCGACTTACTTCGATTTTTTTCTAATGTTCAACATTTTTTTAATGAATATTTAAAAGTTTGTTGGTAAGAATAATAACTCAAATCGAAAATGAGATTCAATTGAACTTACATTAATGTGATTAACTATCCACATCACTCTTCTTAGCTTCACAACCAAAAATAAGTAAAACTAAACACATTTTTTTCTCAAAATGTATATTAAAACTAATTTTTTTTGTGTTTTTATTTATTTTTCTTGCTATAGAAAAACTAAAGAAATTTGTATACTTCACGTTATATTCATGTATAGAGGTATATCTAAGTATATCTAATGACAGCGTATGATTTTGCGTTTTAAAGCGAGATCTTTAAGTAAACAAGGAACAAAATAATAGGGAATGGAGAGTTTTATCGAACCACATTTTTTGTTTATCCATAGATTAACGGCTGGTATTCTTTACTTAACATTTGACACATTACTTTCACTCGCTTTTGTGCAAATAAAAACGAAACTCGATTCTTCTCTAGAAAAGTTCGATTTTATCTGAATTATAGCACCACAAACTGCGATTTCAAAAATTCGCCAGTTTGGAGCTAAGATTCGCTTAAAATTCGAATCTCGAAGCTTCGAATATCAACATTACCCATCCCTAGTATATACCACATATCTACGCACGCCATTTCTTTATTTCCCCAACACGAACTGTCATTCGAGATTAGATATTTGTGTATAATACATACGTATATACGAATACTTATATTTTGAGCCATAAATATCGGCTTACAGATATTTTCAGCAATAAAATTTAATGTGCTTTATATTGGAAATAAATTGCAGCCCAAATAAGCACGTAGCAGAGGTGATAAAAGTGAAGAAACACGCAAGCAAAAAAAAGGTCAGAGAAAGAGGCTCACTATAGGAATGTATGTAAGTAGACAAATACGACAGGTGTCACGTTATGCGGCACGCGCTGACTTCGAAAGATATGTATGTATGTACATATGTATATACATAAATATGTAATGAAAGAGACAAAAATTATAAAAGAAATAATTTGTGTAATGTCCGCAAAGAAACGCCATGGAATGCATTGCGAAATCGCCCTCGGCGTATGCTTACATTGAGCAACCAACATAGCATTTTACCTTCCCTTCACTTACCCGGCATGGCAAATACGCGTGCGTGCCGATCTGTGCGGTTACATTTGTTGTGTCAAAGCCATCCAAATAGGGCTCCACGAAGACAGTGCCCGTTAGGCCCGCAGCTGACGCCGCCGCCGCTGACGACGTGCCACCCGCTGTGAAACTGCTGCTGCTGGCTGATGTGGAGGGGGAAGCGATATACTGCGGTGTCAGGTCGACCACTTCAGCTTGGAGGGGTACTGAAAAAAGAGGGGGAAAAAAGGAAATTAGTTAAAATTGCTGGAAAGTGGCGAATAAGTACGTTAATTGTAGGAATTGTGTACAGTTAGTTCATAACATCTGCATATATATGTATGTATGTATGTATGCATGTGCAAGTGTGTTGCTTTATGGGTTACCGCATCATAAAGTTTGTGACTTTTTAATTATGCAACCTCAAGCCGAAAATTGCAATCATCCATCAAACGTTGAGCCGCGAGTGGCTGTCAATAGCAGGGCTTGCCGCAAATAACACTTTTGTGTCGCAACAGCTTGCCAACAACGATAAAGTTCTCATTTTCAATGCGCTTGCACACAGCCACCTAAAACTTCCGTAGGGACACACGAATAATGTCGAAGAAGCATTTATACGTTGGCTAAAATTAATTTATGACATGAAAATAATGGCTAATGGTGCTTAAAATTCTCACTCCATTGCTCGCCTCTTTTCTACGTGAAATTTTTCACATTTTTCAGATCCTAGGCCACGAGATTTTATTTCTCAAATCGGTTAGAAAAGAGGTATAAATACACCATTCATTTCACGCGAAGAGATAAAGGCTGATTTTATTTGAAGTGAAAGTACATGGATCCATCGATGATTATGCATCCAGTTACACACTATCCGTTTGACGTAGCGTCCGAAAAATCATAAACTCGCTGCTAATCTTTGCAAACTTGGCGTTTTACTTTTGCACTTCTTCTATTAGGCTTTCCTCCATAATTTTTTTAAATTTCGTTTTTCACACAAAAAACGCCGAGGCACGTAAACTTCATTTTGGGCCGTAGATTGCGGATCTGTATACCATTTTTCTAGATCAGGTAATTTTCCCAAGATATTGTCATTTTAAATTTCGATTGCGAATGAACCCTGCGGGGAGTGACGTTTGCGCGAACACTAATTATTAACTGTAGATTTTGTTCCAAAAAAAGCTATCTATATTTGTGTAGCGATGGCCGCAAAAAAGTCAGACCGGAAAACCTCTGCCTAACATGTCTCCTAACTTGTTAGTAACTAACTTCGGACGTAAAATATCAATAAAAAAAAAAACAATCAGCCCTGTTCTGCATTTCGATTCCGTTCAAATGTTTCGGAATCGAAATGCATTGGTGTTCTTGATTTCGATTCCGACCAAATTTTTTCGATTTGAAAAGTTTGCACTTTGGCTAGTCGGAATGAAAAGTAATTGGCTAAGGAAACCCNACGAGTCGAAATGCAGAACAGGTCTGAATGTGTTTTTTTTTATTTAATTTACATTCAAAATTGCATATTGGTTAATTTGTTTACATATTCTGCAGTAGGAGGTCCTATATCCAAATTCCGTCAGAAATAATGACCAAATGATATATAATATAAAATTTCGAACTTCATTTTATTTGTCCTAATTTAAAAAAGTACTTGGGAATTGTAGAAAAAATTTCTTCAAAGCAGTTTTTGTATGAGGCTTGTTAAATAGAACTTTTAAAGAAAACAACCTCCCGATTGCGTCTGCATGACTTCTGCTCAACTTAACAACTCTCCTTAAGTTGGTTTTGTCATAGAAAATTAAAAGTGAGTTATTTAAGTAAATCCCGCCTAAAATCTAACTACAACTTGGTTATTTTTAATAATTGATAATTTTTCACTGCAAGGATGTCTAATTTTAACTTTAACCATCTACTACCATCTGACACCAATTTTCCAGACCACGAAATGTACATATATTAGATATTTTTTAATAAATCTTTTTTCGATTTAAACTGAAAATTCTATCAAAATTTTAAACACTCATTGATAAAATAGTCATATAAATAAACAATATGTCGAAAAATAGGCGTTTTTAGTAATCAATGCTATTGAAACTCAGAAAAAATGTCGAACCTTCAGTGTCTGTCAGACCTACCACATCAGTCGCAGAGGGTTCAAATGGAAAATTTTACTCATACGCCATGTAGGTGTATGTTCGCAGCGCTGCCGATGCGTCGATGTCGTCGTCGTAATTTTGTCTTTTTTTTAGCTCAATGACGTTTTGACGACTTTTCCCCCGTAATGCCGATTTTTATTTATATAAAAATTTTGTTAAAGCTAAATTAATCCAAAATACAACCATGCATTTATCTAGTTTTTTTCTACAACCGTGCTTTTATTTATTTTAATTTTTTTCTGAAATTGTAACCAAATCGTTAATTTGCACTGCTGACACTCATTTGAAAGAGACAGAAAAATATCAGCCAAGATTAAATACATTTAAGATATTAACTGCTTTGTATATAGTATGTTTTACATTGAAATACAAGTTAATAAATGCTAATGTTACACTTTAAAACTGGATGAAAATCTTCAAAAACTTCAAACCAGTGGAGATCAACAAATTAAAAGCAGTTGTGTTTTAAATAGTAATTTTAAATGCCGTTAACAATTAGAAATCCACTTTTATTAACCCATTTGCAATGTGGGTTCGCTTTGGTTTTGTAATGAGTGGTCAAAATTTATTGTATGTCACCTCGCTTGTATTTTTCATTTTGTTAAAAAAGTATAAGACACCAAAATTTGATTTTTTTTGCAGAAATGACGATTTTTTAGGATAAATTGAGGAAATTTCTGCAAAAGCTTTCGGCAACGTTGCAGCTGTATGTTCGAGTACGCCCATGTACGCTGTGGCGTAGGAGTAACATTATTTACTGCTTCTATTTCATATCATTGCACATTTTCATTTCACCATTCACAACCTATTTATTCATCCATCGATTTTCATCGTGAGTAGCTTGATTTAATACAAAAAACTTGTTATTTTTTTTTCCTTGTTAAAGTTTGATTTTCGGTATATAAAAATAAAAATATCTTGGGAAAATAACTTGATCTGAAAAAACGGTATTCAGATGCATAAGGCCAGAGGCATACAAAATTTTAAAAAGTTTCTATACTTGGGACTAGCTTATACTTTTCTAAATGTTTTTAGCGCGCAGATTTGCTCCATTAGCTTAGGTTTTTGCGATAATCAAATAGTCGAAAAACACGATTTTTTCCAACATTCGCAGTGCAGTTTCTTCACGAATAACTCATTTTTGTAGAAAACTGGATAACGTGTTTCAAAGTAAGTGAAAATAATTCGTCATTTATATCTCATTTTAAACCTGAGATATTGTGCTTTGATATTTTTGTGTGTTTGCGATATTTCTTCTACTATATACATATATGTATAAATCCTTGGATGGTACACTTTGAAAACAAAAAAAAATTGGTGGTATACTTTTTGGCTTCTCTATTTATAATATGAATGTAGATATGTATGTGAGGAAACCAATCGATCGTGCAAGGCAAGTAGTTCGACATGCAATATATGGTCCATTGGCAAATGATAAAATACTTGGAATACTTGCAGAGGACTAAGAACTTTTCTTGTTATGAGAATTTTTAAGTGGTGGGTTATCTTTCTAACAGCGAAATTCATGTAAGCAAAGTGAAAAATATTTTTAATTTAATGAATTTTATATGGAAATAGACAGAAAATAAAAAATATTTTTCCACTTAAATTGCCGGTGAAACCGGCGTAAGAAATCATCAATTTTAACATAGATCCATAAGTGTGTACTACATTTTCTCATTTCTATCTTTCATCTGACATGGCAAGCATTGTATTATATTGTATAGCAATTATGTATGTACATACACGCGTTGTATGATTTACACGTTTGAATATAATTAATATTCTTGTAAATCAAGCTAATTTAATTAAAACTTATTTAATTGGGCTTTACATTACAATAAAATCCCGGTTACATAAACATACTTAACTACATATGTACATATATCTGTTTCTTTTACCCGAATTAACCATTATTATAATGCATTGTTGGTTCGTTAATATGCAAAAGCGTACTTATATATGTATTCAGATAATTTGCTTCAGCTCTCTAAAGCGGATATGTACATACACATCTCTTATAAGTATTGTAGAAAATATTTCTATTTCTATAACTAATTATTCAATTGTTAACACGAGTATGTCAGTTCATATTCAAAGACAGTTATTGTGCAAATTCTACATTCTATTGTCCTATTCAGTCGTGAAAAAAACTACGACAATTGGGCAGTTCACAAGGTGTTTTAAACTTTTATGTTTGTAAATGAAAGTCGAATGAGAACACAATACTTGTGAACAGACTGTTGTACTATGTTGTCGAAGTCGCGATTTTCATTTAAGAATTCAACCAGCATTTTTTCTTCTGTCATTACCCACTTTCTTATCGGGTTGGAGCGTATGCGCTTTTTCTTGCACTAAAATGAAATAAATAAAAAGTAATTCAGAAATCAGAAAATAATACACATTTTTTTTATTCCGTTATACTTACTGGAATGTCACTCGGATTCATCTTTTTTCATACCCGAGCGCTCTTGTGCACAAGGGTATATTAATTTTGTTCACATAACGGTTGTTTGTAACAGCCAAAACGAATCGAGATAGATATAGACAAATGTATACATAAATGCTCAGAATGAATAGAGAAATCGATTAAGCCATGTCTGTCTGTCCGTCCGTCTGTCCGTCTGTCCGTCTGTCCGTCCGTCCGTGTACACGACAACTCGAGCGAAAATTGAGATATCTCAACGAAATTTGGTATGTAGGTTTCCATTAATCCAAGGTAGGTTGGTATTGAAAATGGGCGAAATCGGACTTTAACCACGCCCACTTCCCATATAACGGTAATTTTCGGAAATACGAAAACTGCGATATTTTAGTAACTACTGAAGATTATACACTCAAAATTGATATTTACAATAAGTTTTAGACGAAAAATAAGAATATTATAAATTTTTGGAAAATGGGCTTAGCCACGCCCACATGTGTATAACTTGGTAACCGCTGCACCAATTTCTTCCAAACTCGGCACAGTTGTTAGCCTTGGTACAGCATACTAAAAGGCCGAAAATTTAAAAAATCGGACAATAACCACGCCCACATCCCATATAACGGTATTTTAGAGAAATACAAAATCTTCA